GTCTGGTCACCCCAGCAAATGAGCTGCTGCATCCCCCCCAGCCTCCCTTCAGCAAGTCCCAGCGCCACTGGGGCCCCATCCCACCCACCTTCACTAAACACCCCTGCCCTCCTGCTGAGCGTGGGCCAGAACACCAGTAACCCCTGCAGCTAACAAACAAACAGCCACACCGGCCACATTAACCCTGGCGTTTGTCTGCACTACAAAAGGAGGATTTGCTCAAAGAGGCAGAAAATAAGCGGCAAAGCATTTGCCATGTTGCAGAAAAGCTCTCACGGGACAGGATTCAGGAGCAGGATCCATCCCTGGATGGCCACAGTGAAATGCAACAGGGAACGTGCAAAGAGCTTTGAGTAAGTTTGCTGCCCCACCCCATGAATGCCACTTTGCCCCCCTGCCCCGGCCCTTGAAATCACCACCTCCCCTCTGTGCCGCAAAGACTCACCCTGGTCGGCTGCACCAGCAGTCTCTCTCCTCTGCTCCGCTCCACCAGGCCTTCACCTCGTTTTTTTTTTTTTCCCTCTCTTGACACACCTCCAGGTCCGGAGAAAGGCTGTTTTTCTGCTCCTCTGCCTCCTGCTCCCTCTAAAGTGAGGGCTCCTGGGCTCCTCCTAGCCAAAGCCTGCTCCCCTCTGTCTTCTTTCAAGAACAGACACAACATTTTTCAGAAAAACCTGCTTCAAAAAAAAAAGGAGCACAAAATTCCTTTGTTTTACCTGCAGGAAAACCCTCTGTATTATATGTGACTTCACCAGGGCCTCACCCTGAAGATTTGCCCACTCCCTGTCACCTGCGGCCTCCTTTTCTGTCCGTCATGTTGGCCTGAAATTTCAGAGCAGCAGCAAAAAATACGCCACCCTCCAGCCTCAGATCTGGGTGCCAGAGGACGCTGGAGTGAGGAAACACCAAAATCTAGTAACAGCCAACATGGGACAGACTTTACTGCAGTTTTTACCGTAACGCAGCGAAAACTAGCACCACCTTTCTGTAGCCAGGGCACACTAACAGGGCACGCAGGCAAGGAAGACAGTTTAAAAAAGCCAGGTGTAAATGAACTGTTTCCGAGGCAACAGCTGCTGTTCCACCCCACTGCAGGTGTCAGCACAAAGGAAACAGAACGCTGATTTTTTTTTTGTTTTTTTCAGGTAAAAAAGGAATAAAATAAGTGCTCTTCCAGCACCGTGCCTGTATGGGCCCGCAACCCCCCCCCAGGGTGAGCAGGCAGCAGCGTTCCAAGGTGCGATCACTCCAGCAGCCAGCTGTCTGGGCGCACTGGGTCTCGCTGGAGCCTGAACACGCCCAAGTCGGCTGCGGGATGAAGCTCCTGCCCCTCACCGCTGCTTCACCGCCCCAAACGGACATGCCAACAGGGAAACAGGACCCTTCCCTGTCGCTCCGATCCATGCTTGTACCGCAACACACGTAAAATCACTACAAACACTGCCAATGAGTGAAGTAAACTCATTAATACTCATTAGCACATGCAACGCTCACTGAACACTTGGCTGATTAAGGACCAAGAGCACATGGACACGCTCGGCTGAAAGAACTGCTCAGCCCCGAGACCCAAAGGCCAAGAGGGGGTTTACTGCTCTCTGTAGCTCGCTGACGAGCTGGTGCAGAGAGCAGCCAGGCTCTCCTCAGAGGGGCAGGCTGGACAGAAGGTAGAAGGGGTGCAAGCTGCAGCGCAGGCAATGTCACCTCTGCGCTGGGTTTTTGTCACTGTGGGATCGGTCGAAGAGCAGGACAGGGGCCCAAAGAGGCTGTGGGATCTCCATCCTCAGCGATACTAAAGACAAGGCCCTGAGTGTCCTTATCTGACCAGATCTTTGAACAACAGGGTTGGACTAGAAACCTCCAGAGGTCTCTTCCAACCTGAATTATTCTTTGATTGCAAGTTTAAAACCATATGAAAGCAAATACTTCACTGTACTTCAGGCTAATGGACCTCGAGGGAAGTTGAGCTTTGATGCAGGCAGAGGAAGTAAGCCCTAACAAAGTGCAATATGATCACCTCACTGCCTGACTCATCACTACCCGAGCGTTAGATGCTGGTAAACACCTACATTTTTCATTTATTAAATTATTATTTTTTCTTCTAACTGATCTTAACATGCAGCAGCGATTTGAATTAATAAGCACCTCAATATCTGTCAAGTAACTCTAAGACAACTTTCTAGGTGCTCCACTTATCTCCAACATGCTTCACACACATCAATTTTGCCTTCACGCCCATCCTCCCCCTCACCGACGAGGAAGCTGCGTAACCCCAACGCCAGGAGCCGACTCATCGCCCCGAGCGGGGGCTGACGCTCCCGCAGGGCAGCTCACGCCGTGACCCACAAACACAGACTTTCAGCCCTGGCTGAGGGGCACAGAAGCAAAACTCCTGAAGATGGCAAGGGCCAGAGAAGAGCAGCATGTGACCGCAGCAAGAGCTGGTGATCTGACCCTCCCGCAGGGTCCTTCTGGCTCTGCAGACTCACACAGGGCGGGGGGGTCCATCTCCTCAGGGGGTATCAATCGCCTCTTGTGCTCTGACACCAGCTGCTGCCGTGCAACACCTGGGCCAGGCCAGGAGACACCGCTAAATCTCCAGCTACAGCAGCACCAACCCGGGCCAAAGCACACGGACAGAGAATTACTGGCTCCCTCCTCAGCAGAGAACAAAGCGGGGCTCCTGACACCACTGAAGTGCTGAAACACCCCTAAAATTCTGCAGAACAAGTACCAGGACAAATACTCACACACTCCACCTTCTAAAAACATTAGCCTGATCAAAGGCAAAACTATGCAAGACAGAGACACGCAGCAGAGAAAGACCAATGCCTGAGTTTATTTTAAACACAGACTGCCAAAATGGGGGAAGAAAGGTTCAGAGTCTCTCTTGCCATCAGCAGAACGGCCCAAATCCCATCCGTCAGGTCTGTCCCTTGCCGCCAGTCTCTGGGGGGGCTTCCCCGCCTTCTCCCTCTGCGGGCTGACCTTGAGACCCCGTATCTGCCGAGCTTTCCAGAAGCAGCTCCAAGGCTTCCTCGCCAGCCACACGTCTCACCTTCTCCCCTTTGGCTGCCAGGATTTCCTCGATATTCCTTAATAAGCGATTTGAAAAACCAACAGTGACACCACAGCAAAGGCCGGACCCAGGGGTCAGGCACAGGCTCGCGCTCTCACGCTTTGCTCTCAGGATTAACACCACGCAGCGACTCACACTTGAGCATCACACGGTATTTCTCCACAAAGTTTGGGAGAGGGATCAAACCACCCAAAACTGGGATTGTTTTCATCCATTAAGATCAATAAATCAGCAATTACGGGCAGACAGAAATTTTTAAGTATCTGGGGGAGTGAGAAATCATTGAAATTCAGCAGCACACGGGTCTACACGCTCAGGTGCAGAAACCCAGCAGTGACGTGACGAAGCCTGAGGGGGGAACAGAAGAACCCCTCACACAGTAACTCACCGGCTGGCACCGACAAAGATGAGTTCTGCAGCTTCTGCAGCAGCTTTACACCGTGTATTTGGATCCCAGAGAGCGACGGCCAAATTACAGGAGATTTGTAACTCAGTTTGAGTGCTTAACGTGGAACAGGATTATACCCCGCGAAAACTCTGTTTTTCTCTGAACCACGTTTTAAAAGCATCAAAGAAATAACGGATCGGCTCAGGAGGACCCAGTCAGGGCTCGGCAGTCCCCTCCCTTCCTACACAAGGGCGCTGCTGGCACACCTACCGCTTTCCTTCCAGATCCGAAAACCACCCCAGGTTATCGGCTATGACGTGGTGATTCCCGCAGCCGGGACACTTCACTATCACCACCCCGCCATGGTAGGCCAGCTTGGAAATGGTTTTTGCTGACCGGGTCTGGCAGACCTACAGGGCAAACAAAACGGGGGTTATGACCACGGGCGAATAAAGACAAAACCGCTTTATTTACCCGGCTAGAAGGTTTCTTTCCCCCTCCTTCACCTCTAACCACCGTCAAGGCGGCTTCACCGCGTCAACGATGCCGTGTGGCTCCGCACCGACAGCTCCACG